TCTGACGTTAGGATAGAATTTTTGACTGGAGAACCTTAACTGTATTAGCGGATATCAGTCGTTTTATAGCGTGCTGGACGAGCTGAAAATTCAACAAAACATAACTTTATTTATATTCAAATGAAAGTAGCTTCCAAGTTTGTTGGTATGACGCAACAATAAAGTGTCTAGCACTTTTTACTTCTTTATGGTAAGCGTAGCCGTGAGACCCACTTTGGCCCTTCCTGGCCTCCTCCCTCGAAAACTATCTGTCTTTTCTTCGAGACCTTGTTAGTCCACATACTACTCGACTAGTGCTACAAAAGGCGCAAGACATAGACTTTGGCCAGATGGTTTTTCTTGTGACGGTTCGTATCTCGAACGATCGAAATTGTGTTGGAGGTCTCAAAGTCGAATTTGAACACCTCTATGTACAGTTTTTGACGGTAATCCCGAATATGCTGTTTGCGTCTCATTTTGACACGAATTTGCGAATCAGAGAAGGTCAAAAACGAAGGTGTAAACTCGGTTTTTCGGCCTAAAATCTTGTCCTATCTCGATGAAACTTGTCACACATGTTAGGCATCATAAGTAATGACTGTGGTAAAAATTTCAGTCCAATCGGATAACTTCCCGCTGCGTGGCATAGTTGACTTGTGCTCGAACCAACTTTTAGTCAGTCAGACAAACTTTTTTCCTCATAGAAACAAAATTTTCCAAAAAGGATACGTAACTTTGTTCACCTTGAAAAGGCGGTCGAATGATGTACGATAGTTGGGGTTTACTTTAGAATTGTGAGACTAGTAGGGTTTGGCGCACTGAGAGCTCAAAATGGCCAGGGGCGAAATTATAAAATTTGGCTGAGGCGTTAGAATGAATAAAATATTTTCAAACTCACATGGATACACTCCCTGTGAGCTGCTGAAGCCGAATATGTATGATAGACAAACTTAGAGCCCACGGACGTTGGTCAAATTTGACATTTACTCTGAAGGTGTGAAAAATATCACTTTTCTACAGCAAGTCAGTATTTTGAAGATATCTCACTCAAAACTTGATCAAAAGTCAATGAATTATATATATATCTGGAATCTCCTTTCCAAGGGCTATTTACTGATGTGTAATTTTAAAAATCTATTTTCGTGTGATTCTTTCAAATTTCCGGCACCTTATTTATTCCATTCCTTTTCTTGTACGGAAGGATAAGTCAGACATAATGAATTTTTTCTTCCTAATCAATTTATTTAAATTCAATTGTGACGTTTCGTTGATCTCAGATCAACTTCATCAGACAAAAAGTTGTTTGACTTATTTATTCCAAGACGCTTTGCTGACTGAAAACTGACTTAAAACTTTCTTATGGTCTCTTAAATTAATAAAAGACTCAAGAAAAAGTGGGGAGGGCAGAACTTAGGCCAGAAAGATTAAATCTTTCCGACCTTATGCTAAGTGCAACAAGAGATCTTAAGAGACGATTCGCAAGTGCACCAAGCAATGGATATAATGATCTTCTCAAACTTTTGTGTTTTGAGGTACCCCCTGGATGCTCCATACAAAGTTACCCATGAATCTTGAATAGGAGATCTAGATACCTTTCCACTCTCGAGATATGGAATTTTGAAAATGAGCTTCGAATCAGAAATGTGTGAAATAGTCATGTCCAATGTTCGAATCTGTGCTCGGTCACCGTTGACCGAATGCTTTCGAATAACATATCATTCGATCGACAATTTGATGGCCTATAAGCCTGTGCTCAATTACTCTTTAACGGGAGGCTACAAAAATCAAATACTAAGATTTTGGCAAAGTCAAAAAATAGTTTTGATCTAAAACACTGTCTTCCGATTATGAAACCAAAAAGTTAACTACACAATTTGATAGAGTTTTTTCTCCTCTATTTCCCTACGGTACTATCAAAAAATGGTCATTCCAAACAGTAACTTATAACGTGCGATGCTCGAACGTTGTGAAATTACAGCAGCAAGAAGAGAAATAAAAATATTTCACATTAATTCAGAACACACGTGATTAAATGCAGTAGGACGCAACTGCATCAAACACGCCCGCGGTCAAAACACAAAACTACTTACAAGCTATATACGTGAAAATGACTATTTCTGTAGTAAATGACATTGCACCTGTGCTAGATTTTGTAACTAAAAAATAATAACAATTGCTGTAGGAATTGTTAAGCAATTGACTGTAGGGTTTGACGAGTATGGATGATGATGTATGCTGTGGTTGCTGTGCTTCTAGCGATTGAAAGGCTAATACAGACTGATCAAGACCGCCTTGGTTGCTATTCGGGTGACGTGAACCAAATTGTTGATATCGATTGCTAATATCTGTAGTGAAATAGCAATTTGATTCAGTATCTGACATAATTTATGATGGTATACTTGGCAGCATCTGCGATTGAATAATTCAAATCTTATCCTCATTATGTATTTCCTTTTTTTTATTCTTCAATATTTTTCACAATCCACATGTTTCCGACACAAAAGATGTGTTATACATGAGAGTGTGAAAGTAGAAATAAGACTCGGTAATTCAAGAATGATCAACAAAATCGAACCTGTGACAAACGGTCTATAGACAAACAATTTGCTTTCAGAGGACAGATACATATATATCAGTCGCTAATGAGGAGACAGATGTTCGACGAGCAAGGTAATGAGAAATATGACGGTTGAAAGAACGTTAATGACAAGAGGTACAATCAAATGGAACAGATTTGTACTCATTTCATGCACCAATAATCGACACTTAAATTATCACACATCAAGAATACCCAGGTGATTGTGGGGCAAAAACGACTTAACGGCTAACAATTTCATGGGCACAACTACCAGCAGCCAGAAGAAAAATAAGACAGACCATTGATTTCGCTAAATGCTTTGTTGAACTATAGGCCGTATTGCAACTAAATGCTTTGTTGAAGTTGATACTTTTGACGGTAATCGCCTTTTCGATAACCGCCTTTTTCAACGACATGAGCCAATCAAAACGTATTGGAACAACAGATAACAGATATTCGAAAGTAATACAGGTTGCTCTTTTCCACCGAACCACTAGCAGATGAAAAAAGCGAACACCAAGTATAAACAACCCTAACTGACCAACATACAGAGTATCAACAAATAAATTGCACATCCGGCTGTGCATGATTTCAACTGACAAAATGCCAACAATGAGACTGTGTTCGCCACAGACGCATCTGTCGCTATAACAGTGACAATGCTAAATGTAAACTTAATTAAGAGGGATTGATTGGCAAGCGGTTCATAAGAAAGTCCAAGATCCAAGCAATGCAGATCGATATCGAATATTGTAAGTTGTGAACTAACTCAATCTATTCGAATCTTGTTTTTCAAAAGCGAATGTGTTCTGTCATGATACATGACTGCGTAGTTGAGAAACAGTAGCTCAATAATCCTCGAAACAGCAATGTGGACAAATGCAGATGGTATTTGACACTCCACTGTTGTTGGCGTGTATCCACTATATATGGTTCACTTCAGTTTCTCATCTGACTGACAATGTAATAAAAGAGACCATTTGCATTGGTAGAATTTAGAAACAATTGAACAAAAACTAATCTCAGTAAATGTTTGGATACTTAGTCCAGCACATGAAGAGTAGAATTGAGCTGAATGTCTTTGTAAAGTAGTTCATATGCGCCATAAACCTTTGCTCGTTATCGATAGGTTTGAGCGACTATTACTGGTGTATTGTGGAAATGAAGAACAAGAGCTGGAATTTTTTTCGTTTCGTCGACATTAGTACTCTGATTAATAGATATATCGACTTGTTTTGAGTGGTATTAACAGATATCACCGTAATAGTAACCTGAACATAAACAGCTCTGTATCTGAGTTCTGGGGTCAAAAACATTGCTTAAATTTCCTAATTGTGCTCTGGTAAGCCTGGCCTCATACAATGCGGCCTATAGAGTTAAAAACACAAAAAAACGTTTTAAACCTCGAAGATTAGCTTCTAGAAATAGAAGAACCTAACTTTAGAAGATTAGCTTCTAGCTATAATTGTCACGAAATTTAATTTATTGCATTTGATATTCTAGAATCGAGTCTCAAAAATGTTTCCTTCAATGTGAAAAACACTGATTAAAACTGTTAAAAAAGTTGCCTTCGACATCAGTATTGGAATTTCAGCACAATACTGATACTGATACATACCCGATGATAGTGTAATCTTACTAGTTCCCATTTATCGTTTGTCTGGGTATATACAGTCACGTGTGGTCAGCTGCATATGGTTTGTCAACATCACTTCTTGTTACATTTTTTATAACAAAAGATACACTATATATACCGCTTTTATTGATCACACATGCATTTTTAGCTGTGTTTATCTCCGTGGGTCTTACGCCGATCCCCCTAAAATGATAAGCGCCTGTGTAAGTAATACACTTACACACTGTGTAAGTAATACACTTACACACTGTGTAAGTGTGATACTTGCACAGTGGGCATATTTGGCTAGAGCAGGCAGAAATGAGGTTTTATTCGAGAAATAGAGGTGCTAGGTTGATAATAAAAATATGTTTCTATAGGTTATCGAGTACGCTCTATCTAATGGTGGGGTCAAAATTTATTTTCAAAAACTTTTTTTTTTTGGTTTTCTAGAAAACCAGGTTTTCGGGCGAAAACTCACTTTTTTTTACAAGAAAGGCTGAATCCACTTCAGACATCCTTAGATGTAGAAGGACAATTTGTTCTACTTTGAACGAGGACAGATAACCATATAAGCATGAAAAAATCACACTTAAAGTTATAATTTGACTGAGAATTATAAGTTTAATTGTGGAAGGGACGTTAGCCGTTGATGTTTAACATCAACGTTTCTCCTCCTCACCACGGAGAGGTCTCCCTTCATAGAGGAGGATGAATTCATCTTTGTATGCTCATGGTAATCAAATAGTAAAATGAGAAGAGAGTAACTAAAAAGACTAAAAACTACTAAAAAGGATCTAAAACGATTCACTGAAAAAAACTCAAATTTCACTGTAAAATTTTACTTAAGAGAGCATCATCCTCATTCACGCTACCTGTTACTTGTGCCAAACTTGTTCTTTTTCCTCTTCTTGATTGGGATTGATCGATGATTAGACGGAGAACCGGATCTGATCGAATGAAGAGGCGATTGAAAACATCAGTTAGATTTGGTATATGTCCAATTTTTCGGGCCAAAAATTCTCGATAATTTCGAACATCTTTGTTGCAGCTCTCTAAAGCCTCCTCACTCAGCTCTCCCAAAGCAATTCCATTATTTCGTTCAATAAGTTCTGGAGAATGAAAGATCAAATTGTGCACGGTTAGATTGTATTCGATCCAGTTCAATTCTTTGGCCACAAATTGACAAAACTCACGAGTTAAATTCTTAAGTTCGTCAACGATGACTGGTTGAGTGAAAGAAACTGCTCGTAAAATGATTGAATAAGTTTTCATGAGCCAGTTTATGAGATCTTTGTATTTCTTTGGTAAGCAATCGATAATTTTTTCCCGCAGCTCGTAGGAAAAAAATCTTCGCCCTTGTGAACCCGTTGTGCTTGTGCCCCTATTTCCGCTGGAAGAATCACACTGATCTAATTTCAGCCCCGTATATTCTTCAATGTGTTTTAACACACTCTGTTTCGCTGCTTTCAGTTTAGATTGACTATCCTCGCCCCTGATAGCCCACATGAGAAGATTTGCTTTGATTCGATAAAAAATATTTAGAAACCATGTAGTTCCATTAATGTACTGATGCGTGAGAGTAATGTAATGATGGTCACTGGATGAAAGAGGCTCGGTCGTCAGTCCTGCACGGACCTCGTAGTCATTTTTTCTTCGTACGATTTCTCCTTTCTCCTCTATCATTTCCTTGTACAATTGGACAGTTTTTTCAGCAGTACGAGTGATTTGAAAGGCATTTTCTTCATTAATTTTCTTTACATCTTTCCAATCAGCTTGTCTTGTGTGGCACATGAGACAGTCGGCCCCTCCTAGACCCGACTCGACCATTCTAACCTTCATATCTTTCATAGAATCTTCAATAATGATTGATATGTTATACTTTTGTCCATTATGTTCAAAAGAGAGTCCATTCTCTCTGAGTGCTTGCTCTTGAGGTTCGAATGTTTCATTGACAAAGCGAATGAGCTCGGGATTTTCTTTCTCAGCTATAAGCGCCATTGGTCTAGCCCAAAATGCACTATTTGGTGTCTGATTTTTCCAAAAATCCCTTCCAGAATTAGTATCGGAAAGAGACAGTGGTACCATCATTTTGGAAAAGATATTCGCATCCGTCATTGGATTTTGATTCGCTCTGTACACACTCTGTCCGCCAGCTCCATCATGTCCCGTTTTCTGTCGATATAGCAGATCAGTAGAGAGAGGAATTTCCTCTGTGACTGCTCGATCAATGAGCCTTTTCACTGTCAGAACAACACCAGCGGTTGCTGACTCGATAATAATTCCTCGCCCCTCCCTGCATTCTTCCACAACTGGAACTATACTTTGAGAATGTTCTCGAATTAGATTTCGATTTGGAATGTGAAATGTCGGGAAAGAGAAAAAATTGGCTGGATGAAAGTGGAGAAGGATGGAAAAGGTTAGGTTTTGAAAACGCGTTTTAGGTGCTACTTTTAAGCTTCTTTTTTGTTCAGGTGCACGATTAGCTGTAAGTGTAAGTGCATTAATCAGTAGCGAAGGTTTTCATCTCGACTCAGTCGATATCTTAAATTGTGCAACTGAACAAAATATGAATTCTGAGCATTTTGTGAAATGGATGACAGATACTTGTTTCCAGCTAAGAATCAAACACGGTTTGCGTTCTTCTGTGGTCGAAAATAAAACAAATTTTTTATCCCTTTGATTAGTAGTAAACTCCGCTCATATATGCTTGGCGGTCGATAATGCCACCTGACATAATGAACCTACAGAAGAGTCTAAAGCCCCCAAGAGATCTTGGCGTAAAGATCAAATAATTGACTGGCACGTCTTCTACTTTTTTTCAACAAATCCTTCCAACGTTAGTTTAAAATTTTTTCATATCAGCTTGAACAAACATAAAATTAAATTCGGAAATAACTTGAAAAAATCGCTCCGGCTAATACACAGTGAGTTAGAGGATGAATTGTACAGGTTACTCACAGGATTAAATATATGTCATCCGTTTAGTTAGATGAGGAAGCTCAGCAATGCAATGTCGAAATTTTGCGGCAACCCGTGAAGCAGTGCTCTTTCCATCCTAGCGAATTACGTTGGGCGGGGCTAAAACAATATGTATAGCCGAAAATACAATGCATTAAACGATGAAAAAATATTTCGTGAAGCAGATAAATTTGTAGAGAAACAAATAGAACCAGAATTACTTTAAGATGAGATTAACAGCGACGCTGAGGATGATGAAAACAATAGTGGTCAGTGGCAGCGCAAGTCCAAAAACTTGGGGGGGCGGCAATAATTTTTTTTTTAATGTTTCCATGGGAACAGAAGATCGGATTTTGAGCCTTCTTTTTTTAAATCGTACTTCTCTAGTCAGTGCAGAACGGACAAAATTTTATTGGGAGGCTGAATGCCCCTTATTGCGCTGCTGTTGCGCCGCACTGTTAGTGGTATCATATTACTATGAGAAATTCTAAGTAGTGTTTGGATATTGTTGTCATAATTGCATAATAAACGATCTAGAAGAATAATTTTCACGTTTCTGCGGGTGTGCAGAATAAAACTATATGACTTTCCTGTATGCGCGACTAAAAAAAGTTCATTTTATTGCGTTTGAGCCTTGAGGTCACTATAAAGCCTGTCGGTTCAAGCCTAATGTACAGTTTTGGTTTGTCAAAGTTTTTGGATCAGAAAACAAACATACAAACGAAAGAAGGAATATGGAAGAAAATGTATCGACGAGAATCTAACAATGAAACTGAGTTGAATTCAATTCAATTCAGTAATAGAATTGAGTTGAATTGAATTGAAGAAATATTTATAATCGATGAATTGAATTTAGTTAAGAGATCATTCATAACATCTATGAACTGAAATAAATTGAAAAAAATTTCAGAGTTTATAAATTGAATTGAATTGAGTTGATTATCGTAGTAAGTTGAACTGTCTAGCTTTGCCCAGCCGCGTCATATTGTCTTTCGTTCAGTTGTACCATTATTCGCTAAAAGAGATATTTAACAAGCGGCTACTTATAATAACTACGTGGTCCATGATAAAAAGCTTGAGCGTCATGGAAGATCGCAAAACAACATCCATTGATGTTGACGGTATATGGCTAATAATAAACAGTAAATTATTATTGAAAAATATGGAAATAATATCATTTCAAAAAAGTTTTGCGCCTTATATTCTAAAGATTTTTAAAAGTCTTGATAAAGCTTCTCCATAGTGTTATCAAATTTATACTTTACACATTTCTTCCAACGCAGATTCGTTTCTTAAAACGTCAAAGACAGTATAAAAATGCAGTAATTTTTAATTAAATTTTGAGTAACAAATGAGTCTTAGAAAGTAGCTGCAAATGCTTCAAATATCTCAGCGCTCTTGAGTGTTGTACGAGTTTCTATTAATAAGAGTTAAAGTTATGCTGTACGCATTGTGTCTGAATTACTTTTGTTGAAGGAAAAGACTAGGTAAGCTAGAAAATCGTAAGAAGAACTTGAAAGTATAGTTTCTTAACATTCGTTTTTAAAAATTCGCAGAAGAGTTTGTAAATCCGTTCATCGGGTTTTTAAAGCTTATAATTAAGGCAAACATTGCTACGCCACTCAGCATAATTGATCATCTATGACCAAGTTGCTTTTGCGGTTCCTACTGGTCATCTCCCACCAGTTCTTGGGCTTTCAGGAAGTTTGATGTCACGTCCAAACAACAAAAGATGAAGGGATCAAAGAATTCTTATTCGAATGAATACACTTTCAGCTACGTACTGTGAAAAGAAGAATGCCTATATGAAGTTTTGATGATTTTCAGTGGCCTTTTTAAGATCTTTGATAAAATCTTTTGTTTAGAAAGGGTTTTTAAAACCTTTTCACTCAAGGCAAACTGCGGTCAAACATTCTCTTCAGAATGGCAAGAAATCACAGGTTTTTATCTATTATCGATCAAAGATTATTCAAATAAAACATTCATTGCTACCGAGATTTGAAATATATAATAATCACAGGTGCATGCAGCTTGATCGGTAGCTTAGTTCTTGTAAGTATTGCATTGAAGTTTGATGATTAGACAACAGAGCACTTATGCTGTAATTATATGATACTACTCTGTTTATATAAGTCAATAATAAACAAAGTAAGTAAATGAATGTCAAGATAAAAGAAAGTTATTGAGTTTGACAACATTTGAGTTATTTTAGACTACGAATGCGAAGAACGAGAAATGTTAATTATATTGGGAACTATTCAAGATTAAAAATCTTGACATACTTACCGCCCTCTGTTGCGTCTTGCCGTTGTTGACTCTCGGACTCGGTCGTCGAAGTTGAATCCGATCATTTAATTAAATGCCTAAAATCCAAGGAACAAGTCCAGATTACGGAAAGAAATGATATGGTGCTTTTCATCCCTTCTTAATGGGAAAGTAACGCTACAGAATTTGAAAGTTTTCAGATGGAAGGCATCATCCGGAAATCGCCGTCGCCGTGGATTCTTATACGTTACAGTGTTAAAGTATAAACGTGCATAATTGAGGGTGAGGACGTGAGGACGAGGGTGCAGCACTTCTTCACCCACTTCACTCTCACTTCTCCACCCTCACCCTCACTCGCCGCGAGTTCGTATATGTTAAAGTGTTAACACTTTAACACTGAATCCGCGGCGACGGCGATTTTCGGATGTTATGAGTGCTTATGGGAGCCGGGTCCAAAAATCAAAATTAAAGCATTTGTTTAACTGTTTTTAATCTTCTGAGTCTCGGCGGTAAATATACTTACCAGCACTAAATTTCGAGAATCTCGTTGATGAATGTTAAAAACTTTTACAAAATAAAATCAACAAAAACCGCGCGGAATACACCAGCATACTTTTTTATCGCATTTTGGCCTGAATCCCTATCAACACAACCTAGACTGTCACAAAATTAGAGTGGGAGAGTTTCTTTATAACCACGTTTTCGTCAGCAAAGGCCGCAGAAAACAGTTAAAAATGCGGTTTCTAGTATCGCGGTTAGCTGATACAAACCACATTGTCCAGTCAGATGAAGAATACGGCATCATCAAACCGCAGTTTTATTGACGGAAACTCCGGCCTCGGAATCATTAGAAAGCGCGGTGAAGATAAACCGAAGTGTAAATCGTAAACATCGTGGTTTAAGAAACCGCTACGCTCAGCAGTATTCACAGACCGGGTTTAGATCTAGTTTATCGCGGTATATAAAACTGTAAAAAAAGCGCGGTTTCAGATACCGCAAGTCGACTCGAACAGAATGCAGCTTCTCCAAACCGTGATTTTTATCGGTCAAAACGCAATTTGCATCGAGGAAATGCGGTTTGTCATTACCGCGGTGAACAGCATTTTTCGGAATTACATCGTGGTTTGCGAGAAACCGCGGTGAATTAAAAATTATTATTTGGAAAAATTTTCCGTGAGCAGAGAGCGCTGGAGACGTGCCTAGATCACAACAGCTAAAACATCCAAAACAACCAATTTTAGGCTGTGCAGTTCATCGACTAATGTAGAAAGGTTGTGTGAGACAAAAACCTAAAATCAGTACATACTTATTCGCATTGCTTTCAAGTCCAATTAACACATTTTCCGGTTTCAAATCTCATTGTATGCTGTTATGTTCATGAACGTATTTAAGAATGTTAAAAATCTAATTTAGAAAAAGTAATCATTCGCATTGGTGTACTGCTGCATAAAAGACAGAAGGTTTTACAAAGAATACCAAGAGAAACACGAGATGTTCATCATGTTTGTATCTACTAATTCTTTCTACACGCTCCAGCAGTAAAAGTAAAGATATTGCAAAGGTACTAACGAGAAAATCGAATTTTTTTCAAGTCTCACTCAAACCGCCTCGTCCTCAAATTGTGTAACCCTTCTAAGACAGTGTCTTTGTGTTAAACTGTTTTCGTAAATAAAATATCGTAAAATTTTGAGTGACACCATATTTCGTAAAGAACAAACTGTCAGTATATTCAAACTTTTCAGCTGGTTTAGAAAAGTTTGGAGAATTCAGAAGCATTATGATCACCTATAAACCTTCAACAGTATTCAAATGATAAGCACAGCGATGTCTACATTGTCTTGTATTTATATTCTCTGTAAAAC